TGGGGGGTGAGGGGGGAGGAGGGAAACGAGGACAAGTCCGTTCCTCCTTTCTCCATCCATCCTTTCTTCCTTCCTTTCTCCATCTGTCCTTCCTTTCTCTTTCTTCCGGTGTGACCACATGGCAGCGAGGCCACAGATGAGGAGCCGGCACAGTGAGGTGGAACCACAGGCTGTGCGCTGAGTGGACCCATGGGTGCCCCCGAGCAGCGCCACCTGCGTCTCCTGACCACCACCAAAACCCTACACGTTTATATTTACATACACCCTCCTCCTCCTCCTCCTCCTCTTCCTCTTCCTCCCCCCATTACCTCCCTGGACTCCCCGTAGACCTTCTGTAGAGGGTGCCCACTGGCACCTGGGGCGTTCATTATATACGGTAAGAGGCGGTAAATCACGGAGCTCCATCATTGCCAGTATCATCAGAAGTCTCTCTCTCTCTCTCTCTCTCTCTCTCTCTGGCTGTATGGCACTATCAAATACAGCTGCGAACACAAAACACTCCGCCGCGGCAGACAGCAAATTGGCTCCAAGTTAAAAAAAAACAAAAAAAAACCCTCACATACACAGACACTTACACACAGACACAGAGCACAACAACAGAATATTAATGAAGGTCTGCTCTGTAAAGACACACGGTGCATCTGTGTGTGTGTGTGTCTGAGTGTAGCACAGCTGCTGGTGTTACGAGCCCACAGTGTATTTGGGTGTTCATCCACAGACTGTACATGTAGATGTGGTACACCTTCAACCCCAGGCCAAATTCAAGCACTTTTCAAGCACTTTCCAGATCTATGCCTTTGGTTATCATCCAGTAAAAAACATTAGCTTTTTCTGCTATTTATATCCACGGCTGAGATATTTCAGTGCTGGATGTAAGGTTGCAACATTCAGCGCGGCTAAAAAAAAAAAATATAGCATTAGCTCTTTTTAGTTATTGTTGGGAACTTCCGACTCCGTTTGGCAATCATTTAGGACGTGTTTAGTCACTTTTTTATGTTGTCTTTTTGCAAACTGTCTATAATCTTGATGTAAAATTTTACACGTTTTCCAAAAATCTTTTTAAGCAAATTTTGTGGATTTTTTGAAAAATGTCCTGTTGCCTTTGACCTTTGCCTTGTTGTTTTTCTATTTAAGCACAAATAGTGTCAATTTTGACATTAATAACAAATTCTATTTTTCTTTGCCAACTTAAAGTTATCTTTGATTTGTATCTTCTGTTAGCGTTTAGCTTTTTTGCTAATTTGACCAACTAAGCATGCGTTATCCTCTACCAAATTTAACAATTTTTGGGCAAACTATTAGCTTTTCATTAGCTTTATCTTTTTATTATGAATATTATCCTTATCATAAAAGATAACTTTACACGATTCCACAGAACATGCGTTCCACAACTCTCCAACTACATCCTGCCACAGCTACAGTATTCTCTTACACCCAGTCCATGACATGGTTGTAATATCCTGGACAGTGATTTGTGTGTTGATGAAGTGTTGATTAAACTACACGTGAATGAAAGTATAAGAAGGAATTGATGAGGAAAAAAAAAACAGATTAAGATGCTGAAATTAACACTATTAAAAAGCCTCTCTCTTCTCTCCTCCTCTATCCTCATCTTTCCGTCGTGAACGGTGATCCAGTGTCAGCACCGAGCGAGCGCGGGGCTGCTTTCAGAAGATAAGCTCTCAGACAGGTAAAATGAAGCTCACATAATGAATGCCCATAAAAGTGCTTTTTGCTGCTCTCTGTTGTCAGTTGATACAACCGAATGGTGATTCAACCAATAACAGTGCCGCGTGTGTCGTGAAAGCTTTCTGTTCTTGATGAGATGCAGCGCTACGTCCATTAAAATTAGGCTTCCGGGGCTCGGAAATTGAGATCTTGGTGTTTACACGGAAGATCTTGCTGCGCTTGACTCCTGTTTTCATTTCTGAGGATTATAGTAAACACAGGAACATAGACACTAAATAACACACCACTTTCACTTAAGTGCAACCGTGTTTTGGTGATAGAACCAAAAAGACACTGCTGATTTGCCGCTTCTATCCTTTCATTACTTTTTGTGCAGCAACAGCTGCCAAAGTTTAGTGCAACAACAACAACAAAAAACCACCAAAATTAAATTAAACGGAAACATTTTGGTTTTTTTTTACACGAGGACAAATAACAGAGGCAGGTCCTGCACTTGATTATGGGTCAGAAATAGAAAACGGAATTGGGGAAATTTGGTAAAAATGTAAATGTATCTAAAAGTTAAATTGCTACAGCAATGCGTATAGTTTGTAAAACCTTTCTAAGCGTTAGTCCAGAAATTACTGAAAGGCAGCAAATGAACAGTGATGAGTAAACGAAACAAAAAATACACAAGGCAAAACACAGTGACAAATGCTAAGAGTTTGGCAGAAATGGCAAGATTGACCAACAGCTAAAAATATTAGCCTAAAATGAACTCCCAAACTACCTTGAACACAACAAGGATTTAATATTCCATATTGTAAAAAAAAATTAAAGTTCTTGCAAACAATTAGCCAAAGCAAAAGCCCAGAATTCACTAAAACACTAATATTTAAGTAAAAAAAACAACAACTAATTACTGAACAAAACTTGCCTGAAAATGCTAAAATTATAGTCAAACAATAAGCTTACAATTAACCCCGAAGCCAAAGATAAAAAATAATTTAAAAGGAGCAATAAACTGTTAAAAACAGCAATGATCTATTAGCCTGGAAAAAAGTAAAGGAAGCCTAGACCAGAAATGACTCAAACATCAAGCATGTTGACCTGAAGCCTAGCCCAGAAATGACTCAAACATCAAGCATGTTTCAGCGAAAGAGAAAACTACAATTTAGCAAAAAGATGAAGAATAGATCAAAATAATTAAAAGGGAACAGGAAACATTTAGTTCGCTTTAAAGAGTAAAACCCGGTCAGAGTAATAATACTTATACAGAGAAGGATATTTTATTAAGGGTTAGTTTTTATAGCCCATAATAATCTGTGTAAACTATAAATAGTAGGAATGTAAACTTATTAGCGTCAGTCTGTCAGACGGATCAGTTCAGCCTCTCCTTTCATTCACGAGCTGTGAATAGGATTATTCACATCAAAGTGTGCATGTAAAGGAACACCTTCACACCACTTCCACTTTTCAGAGAATACGTTAAGGAACTATTCCTGGTACCGATGATGAGGACGGCTGCTGCGTCAGTTTGCAGACTTCATAACCCCCGCCCCGGCAACAAGACAAACCAGGCTCCACAGAATCATATTTAAGCGTATGCTCTTTCACGTCCGCCTCGTTGGGATTTAAGTCACGCCTGCTGCCAGACCGGGTTCAAAGCTGAGGCTGCTGAGCCTCGTGTGCAGCATCAGAGGTGACATTTGCTGTTGGTCGGTGGTGGACCGCTGCCTGTGTTCTCTGCCGTGTTTAATGGACGCAGGAGATGCAAGCACGTTTTTGCTGCTCTGCTGCTGGTGGCTAGAACAGCTACTGCACATCGAACCCAGCAAACAATTAAAAAGAAAATCTAGTCCTATTATTACTAGGACAAAAGATCGCTTCATATTTATAATGTGAAAAGTTTCTTTGTTTATACTTTGCTTCTCAAAAGAGCTAAGATTAAGCAAGAGTAAACTTTAGTCAAGTTCGTTTTGCGGATGATACACGTGTTAAAAAATTGCTGAAATCTATTTTTTATCAATAAAACGTAATTAAACGTAACCATAAATTGTTAACGGTTGGCCTGAGATATTAGTAAAACTAAAACTTAAAACTAGGTTAGGAAAGAAATTAGATTTAGTTCCTGAAAGTTCAAGGACATTTAGCCAAGGTTATGTTATACCTAAAAAATGAGCCAAAACAAATAGCTTAAAGCTAGCAATATATGTCAATCAGAAAAATACAGTTATGCTGCATAATTAAAACAATGAAAATAATCAAAAATAACATATGAAAACAGAAGACAGACGAGAGATTAAAAATAAATAAACCTATATCCTGTAGCATCCCAAAAATAGCCCACATGTCCACTACTGTACACTGCTCACACCTGCAGCCTCCTCTCAGCTCTCAGCTCCCAGCATGCACCAGCACCAGCAACAGCATCACACACTAATGCTAAATTCTCCTGACTTGTAAATAGGGACGACTGCTCTCATCTCGCAGCCTTTCCTTTCAAATATTTATCTGCGGGGCTGTGAGCTAAATCGGCTCTGACAGTGAGACTGTTATTTAAGGTCGCAGACAGGCAGCTGGGTGAGGGAAAAGGAGAGAGAAAAAAGGGGGCAAAGAAAAAAAAAAAAAAAAGAGAAGGCGCCGCCATCCTCCGCTGCTGAAATGGAATTCATTTCCATGTTTTCATATTCTGTCATTGTACTGTGTGTGTGTGTGTGTGTGTGTTTGTGTGTGTTCTCTCTCCTCTCCTCTCTGAATAGCCACATCCATCAGTGTATTAGTATCCCGGCCTCGCCTGAGTGGAGAGGCAGCACACAGAGAATTACTGTCGGACTAAAGAAAAACAACAACAGCTACAGCAACGCGGGGAGAGAGAGAGAGAGAGGGGAGAAAAACAGTTAAAGATCACTGTAAATGAGCTTTGTCTGTCTGACTGACTGACTGAGGCTGAATTTATTCATTTCATTGACCTGGAAAAATACTATTTATTCAGCTACAGCCGTAATGTAAACGTAGAGGGCTGAGACAAGATGCACCGCTGTTGTCTAATGCAAATGTCACACGTGTGTGTGTATATACGTATGTGTGTATATAGATATATATATGTTTATATGAAGTCGTATTTGACAGCTCAGTTCTGTCAGAGCGTAAAGCATTTTTTTAATTTTGCAAACAATATATACGGATGTCCTAATTTTTTTCTTTTTACTTGAGAAAAAAAAAAGTCTAGATCAATGTCTCCCACTCAGACGAGCTGAGAGTCACTACTGCCACGGTCATGTGATTGGACAGAAAAAAGATATTTTGGAAAAAGAAAGAAGTATTTCATTTTAAATACTGCGTATAATTTGCTTCTTAGTCTTTAACCACCGACTAAAGCCTCTTTAATTATCTAAAAACTTCATCAAAGAAAAAAAAGAAAAGAAAAAAAACTTCTTATGGACAAAATTAAATTATTATTGACATCTTGTCGAAGGCCAGATGTAGCTGCTTCACAGGCCGCAGTCGGCCCTTGGGCCAGGAGTTTGAAACCCCTATGCCTGACTCTTTTTTAAAAAAAATATATAATTCTTTTGCAACAGAAAAGTAGAATTAATCATTGCCATTGATTTTTTTTTTTGTTGTTTTGTTGGAGGAAACTAGAATAGAAAAAACCCATGCACACACTGGGAGAAACCAGCAAACTCCAGAGAGAGAATAGAAAAACAGTGGGAGAAACCAGCAAACTCCAGAGAGACTGGGATGGAACCAGTGAGCTGGTGTGGTCAGGGTACCGACCACTTCTTCCACCGTGTGGTCCCAGATCACATCGGCTGCCCCTTCTGCTCTTTTTTTCGTTTTTTTTAAGCACACACACAGGACTTTCAGGGCACTCTTTAAATAAAGCAACAGACACAATAAAGTGCAAATCCACCGCAACTGCTTATTCAAGCATGAGCAGCAGAGATGAGTAATTTGCTGAGCAGAATTGCTGCAGCAGCAGCAGCAGCAGCAGAGTTGGGCTAGTTCACCAGAGACTCACTGATGTAAACAGGTGGAGGATTAATCACCCGCTGGTGTGCACTGTATAGTAAATCAAAAATAATATTAATATT